ACATTCTTTAATTGTACATGTATTATCAAACTAATTTTGATTTGCTAGTATTTTCTTAGAAAGACATTCTTGTTCAGTTCGAAAAACATATTCGTTTGTATTTTTACCTGCTTTGTCATAGAATGTCTCTCCTCAGATGTCTGTTTATGCCTGAAATTTTGCATCGAGGGGCACCTGAGGTCTTCCTCCACCATTAAAGTTGGAAAGTCTCCATATCATGATACAGGTTGATATGTATTTACATTTTATTATTTTTAGCTCACCTGTCACAAAGTGACAGGGTGAGCTTTTGTGATCGCTTTTCGTCCGGCGTCCGTCCGTCCGTAAACTTCTCCTTTAAATGACATCTCCTCATAAACCACTAAGCCAATTTCATCCAAACTTCACAGGAATGTTCCTTTGGTGGTCACCTTTAAAAATTGTTCAAAGAATTTAATTCCATGCAAAACTCTGGTTGCCATGGCAACCGAAAGAAAAAACTTTAAATATCTTCTTTTAAAAAACCATAAGAGCTAGAGCTTATATATTTGGCATGAAACATATATTTGGCATGAAACATCTTCTAGTGAGTGTCTACCAAGTTTGTTCAAATGAAAGCCCTGGGGTCAAAATTGGCCCCGCCCCTGAGGGTCATTGATTTTCCCTATATGCATATAGTAAAAACTTAAAAAATCTTCTTTTAAAGAACCCAAAGAGCTAGAGCTAAGATATTTAGCATGAAACATGTTCTAATGGGTGTCTACCAAGTTTGTTCAAATAAAAGCCCTGGGGTGAAAATTGGCCCCGCCCCGGGGGTCATTGATTTTCCCTATATGCATATAGTAAAAACTTAAAAATCTTCTTTTAAAGAACTCAAAGAGCTAGAGCTTAGATATTTGGCATGAAACATCTTCTAATGGGTGTCTACCAAGTTTGTTCAAATAAAAGCCCTGTGGTGAAAATTGGCCCCGCCCCGGGGGTCATTGATTTTCCCTATATGCATATAGTAAAAACTTAAAAAATCTTCTTTTAAAGAACTCAAAGAGCTAGAGCTTAGATATTTGGCATGAAACATCTTCTAGTGTGTGTCTACCAAGTTTGTTCAAATAAAAGCCCTGGGGTCAAAATTGGCCCCGCCCCGGGGGGTCATTGATTTTCCCTATATGCATATAGTAAAAACTTAAAAAATCTTCTTTTAAAGAACCCAAAGAGCTAGAGCTAAGATATTTAGCATGAAACATGTTCTAATGGGTGTCTACCAAGTTTGTTCAAATAAAAGCCCTGGGGTCAAAATTGGCCCCGCCCCGGGGGGTCATTGATTTTCCATATATGCATATAGTTAAAACTTAAAAAATCTTCTTTTAAAGAACTCAAAGAGCTATGGCTAAGATATTGAGCATCAAACATGTTCTAAAAGGTGTCTACCAAGTTTGTTCAAATACAAGCCCAGGGGTCAAAATTGGCCCCGCCCCGGGGGTCATTGATTTTCTTTATATGTGTTTAGCAAAAACTTTAAATCTTCTTTGAAAAAACCAAAATAGCTAGAGTTTAGATATTAAGCATGAAACATCTTCTAGTAAGTGTCTACAAAGTTTGTTCAAATAAAAGCCATGGGGTCAAAACTGGCCCAGCCCCAGGGGTGTCATTGTTTTTAACTATATGTGTATAGAAATTTTTTTTTAAAAATCTTTATTTAAAAAGCCCAATGAGCTAGAGCTTAAATGTTTAGCATGAAACATCTTCTTATGTGTGTCTACCAAGTTTGTGCAAATAAAAGCCCTTGGGTTAAATTGGCTCTGCAACGTTGGGGGGGGGGGTTGGGGGGGCCTATATACAGGTGAGCGACCTCAGGGCCATCATGGCCCTCTTGTTATCTTAATTTTCTTACTACTTTGATAGGAATATTAGTATCAGAAAGCCCAAAGAGTTGTTTTTCCCTGGAGATGATATCATTGACCCTGCAGTAGTGAAGGACATTAGAGAACAGGTGAAATTTGCCGTGGCAACCATCGCTATGAAGGAGGGCAACTATAAGGAGGCATTAAGTGCCTTTGAGAGTCTGTATAAAGCTGAGGCATCATACAGGATAGGCTTGGTAAGCGCTTTTTTATAAGTCTTATAATTGAAAATTGAAAAGAACACCTGTTAGTTTTAAGTCGGGTTCTCTCATGGAAAGAGTTTGCTTGGGATTCTACCATAGAAAGAAGAATTAAATTGAAATTTCCTCATGGAAAGAGTTTTCATGGAATTTCCTGGAGTGAGAAGTTGACTTGGGATTCCCTCAAAAGAGCAGTTTATTTAGGATTCATGTAATATTTGATAAAAATGCACTCAAAATCAGTGTGAAATAAGGGTTCCAGAGTTAAAATATCAAGAAAGATAAGATCAGCTTAAGAAATTGAGGGCATGATTATTGGTTGTTTGCTTGTTGTTTATTTTATACAAATTTTTATTTAGTTTGATTGTGTTGGAGGCTATAAGCTTATTGAAACATTCTGGAATTTGTTCCCGGAACCAACCAGTACAAAGCATCAAGTGTAAAGTTTCTTGCTCAAGGATACAATGGCTTGGGCCTGACAGGGTTTGAACCCACAAGCCAGCAATCCTTAGATTACAAGTCTGATGTGTTTACCACTGGTCCACACTGCCATTGTTTGATGTCTTTGTACACCATAGACATAATTGACAAGCAAAAAAGATAAATTGATAGGTAGTGCATGTCTCTGACTTACTCAGAATTTAACTTCTCTCCGCAGATTTATCGTACGTTAGCAGAAGATCAGGATTCAAATCAGAACTCGTCCGGTAACAATCAAAGTCAGCAGATGATAATGTTGTCCAAGTCCAAGACGGCTCTCTATCAGGCTCTTGATAGACTAGAGACGGAACAAAATGAGGTGAGTGCCTGTTACCATATATACTAGTTGTCTGAATTATATTTCTGTTGTTGAAATAATTTCTTAGGTACATCTCCACGGGCTCTGACGACTGTTATTTTTGAGCCATTACCTAATAGCACATACTTTCATAAAGCAAACCCTAGCAGCTTTCCATTAAACTTTCAGACCATCAACATATAGTGGTCATTGCAAAAAATATGTAAAATTAGGTATGGACATCATATGTATGTTTTGTCTTGAAAATGCCCGGAATCAGGAGTATCGTCTTTCTTCGTGTTTCAGTTGTTCCTCTCATCAAATCTTTTGTAAGAGATTTATATAGCATTTTGATATCATTTTGAGAAAGAAAAAATGTTTAAAAATTATTAAAAAACCACAAAATGTTTACATTATCAGGAGCTAAAGGATGCTGTAAGGAGAGATTTAGATGACGTGGTATGTAAAGTGATCTCGCTAGAGTCTGGAGGCAGTATGGTAGACAGTATTTTGTCTACCAGTCAGCAGTATGATACAGCCGAGTCTGGGACAGACACTGATGATGAAGAACCAGTCAAACATCCGAGTCCTAGAACCCCTGTACTACCTCTACCCTCACATGTATGTATTTTAGATAACTGTTGGTTTATAGTGAGTAATTTTTTTGCGGCACATTAAACAAGATAATGTTCAAATCTGTTTCTTTAGGTCAATTTTCCCAATTTTTACAAAAGGCCTTCATGTTAAAGTGGTTCAGGTTACGGACTTGAAATGACTTCTTATTATCAAGTTCTGATGTCACTAGGAGATTCGCATTATTTTGTGTTATGTAGCTATCCAGCTAGCTGGTGTAAGTTTGGTGGCTCTACTTTATTGTCCTCTTCTGCCTGAATAATGCATATAAAGGGTCAACTAAGAATTTTCTTAATCAAGTCTTTATGGCTTAATACTAAAAATCATTTTAGCACGTGTTTTACTAAACATCTAGATACTTATTGTTCCCTTCCTAGTGTTTAACTGAAAGGGAACTACAGCTTTGTTGTGCATCTATCTGTCTGTTTATCAGTCTGTAAAGAATGATGTTGTAACATTGATACAAGTTAATTTGATGTAACTTGGAAGGTGAGGGACATTCATGGCCAAGTGGTTAAGGACTTCAAACCACTTGCCCACTCACTGCTGTAGGTTTAAATCCCACTAGGGACTTTAAATTCTTTCATGTCAAGAATCTGTCCAGCTAGCTGAAGGAACGTCAGTGGTTCTACTTGGGTACCCACTTATGCCCTAAATAATGCACTGAGGGGTACCTGAGGTCTTCCTCCACCAATAAAGCTGGAAAGTCACTTTATGACCTCTACTGTGTTGGTGAGACATAATACGTAACGGGAGGTGGGGGGGAAGTATATGAAGAAATATGTTTTTAACACCAACGAAAGCTAATTTGATGTAACGACTTGGAATACAAGTGAATATATGACAATATCTTAATTATTTAATTAAATTTGTATTGTTGTGATCATCAAAATTTCTGTATTTATAGTAATCTCGTAAAAATGTAATATCATTCTCTCATGTGAAGCATTCAATGCCTCTGGCTTGTTTGCCAAGGATAAGTGTATAAGTGGCTCGTGATGCAACTGCTTTTGTTATATATTAGGAGAAAGATAAACTTTTTCTGATGCAAATAAGAATGAAAATGGACTTCTAATGAATTGAAATACAGTAAAAACTTGATAATAAGCTGTGCCTTATTAAAAAAAAAAATTTGTAACATATTTTCCAAGACACGTTATATTCTATTTCCTATAGACATATTAAAATCACAAAAAAAGATATTTAAGTTCATAAGACTGTAATAGAAGTTTTGAATAAACAGGTACAAATTTTATATGAAATTTATTTGTTTCCCTTTTTAGTCTCGTGACCGAACGAATATCAGCCCTACAAAGATTGAAGTGCAGTTGAAGGCGTTAGATATGGTAAACTCGGCTCTGTCGTCCAGATTGGCTGCACTAGAGGAGACGGTGAAAACAAACACAAACAATATTTTCACTCAGTTACATCAGCTCAGGGAAGAAAACAAGAGCTTGAGAGTAAGTTTACTGTGATTTGAAACGTGTTTTGGTTACGCCGACACATCAAAAATATGTTTTATTACGCCCACACATTAAATATAAGTTTTGTTACACCCACACATCAAAAATGTGTTGTTACGCCCACACATCAAAAATATGTTTTATTACATCCACACATCAAAAATATGTTTTCACCAACACATCAAAAAGATGTTTTGTTACACCCACACATCAAAAATATGTTTTATTACGCCCACACATCAAAAATATGTTTTGTTACAACCACACATCAAAAATATGTTTTGTTACACCCACACATCAAAAATATGTATTGTTACACCCACACATTAAAAATATGTTTTGTTACACCCACACATCAAAAATATGTATTGTTACACCCACACATCAAAAATATGTTTTATTACATCCACACATCAAAAATATGCATTGTTTACACCCACACATCAAAAATATGTTTTGTTACAACCACACATCAAAAATATGTTTTCACCAACACATCAAAAATATGTTTTATTACATCCACACATCAAAAAAATGTATTGTTACATCCACACATCAAAAATATGTTTTGTTACACCCACACATCAAAAATATGTATTGTTACATCCACACATCAAAAATATGTATTGTTACACCCACACATCAAAAATATGTATTGTTACACCCACACATCAAAAATATGTTTTGTTACAACCACACATCAAAAATATGTATTGTTACATCCACACATCAAAAATATGTATTGTTACACCCACACATCAAAAATATGTATTGTTACATCCACACATCAAAAATATGTTTTGTTACAACCACACATTAAATATAAGTTTTGTTACATCCACACATCAAAAATATGTTTTGTTACAACCACACATCAAAAATATGTTTTCACCAACACATCAAAAATTTGTTTTGTTACAACCACATATCAAAAATATGTATTGTTACACCCACACATCAAAAATATGTTTTATTACATCCACACATCAAAAATATGTTTTGTTACACCCACACATCAAAAATATGTTTTGTTACATCCACACATCAAAAATATGTTTTGTTACACCCACACATCAAAAATATGTTTTATTACATCCACACATCAAAAATATGTTTTCACCAACACATCAAAAATATGTTTTGTTACAACCACACATCAAAAATATGTATTGTTACATCCACACATCAAAAATATGTTTTAGTACATCCACACATCAAAAATATGTTTTCACCAACACATCAAAAAGATGTTTTGTATGCCCACGCATGGATGGCTAGATTTAATTGTATGTTGTTTTTGTCTCATCAAGTATATCTGTCTATCTCTAAGTGGACTTGGGATCCTCGACCATCAAACATAAGTAAGGGCTATCTTCTTGGACTTAACAAACCTTTGATCAAAAGCTTTAGTTTGACATGTAAATGGTCTTTGATCTCTATCATAAAAATTGTCAAAAGTCAGAAAAATTCCACATATTTGTGTTATTAATTGAAAAATTTGAGATGGAGGTATGATGTATTAATATCTGGAAGTCTGACAATTATTTAAAGTCTTTGTATGAAGTTACTATACTGACCTCTCCTGATTAAGCATGTAATACATGTTATGTATTACATGTACAGTTTTTCTCTCCAACTTTGGTCCATTTTCTTGAAATTTTAATTGAAATGTTGTTTACCATGATATTGTTTTATGATATGCTTCTGTTACTAATTCGTTTAATGAAAAAAATTCTTCACTTCATAATTGCTGATTGTATATTTTTTTAAAATGTAAAAATGTTTTGGTAAGTAAACAAAATTTATATTTTCACAGGATCAGTTACAGATTTTTTCTCTACAAGGGTTGTCTTGCATGTCAATGATCCGTCCACCAGGCACACCACAACAACAACCACGTATGAATCCAGTCAACATGTCATTTGGTAAGAAAACATTCCATAAATATGGTAGATGAGAGTTAGCTCAGTTAGGCTTTCAACCCATGGATTATTGGTTCGAGCCAGGATATGTGGCCGAGTGGTTAAAGTCGTTGACTACAAACCACTTGCCCCTCTCCACTGTGGGTAAAAATCCCGACATTGCTTTCATTCATATGAGGAAGTTATCCAGCTAGCTTATTGAACATCAGTGGTTCTACTCAGGTACCCATCCATGCCTGAATAAGTGCACTGAGGGAACCAAAGGTCTGCCCTGTAAGCTATTTTGATTAGTAAAACCAGAAAATAAACAAAGAAAAACATGTTTACTAAAAAAAAAATGCAAATTTATAATGGAATTTGATTTTAGTTAAATTTATCAAAAACGTATAATTATTGTTGAATTTTTTTAATTATTATTATTTTCTAGGAGGGGCATCAGTGTATGACTTTCCAGGCCAGAATGGACTGCCCCCTCACATGGCACAATATGGATACTCCGCAGCAAGTCCACGTCCAGGCTCAGCATATGGTCAGCCAACGTACGATGATGGATTTAGCCATGTTGACGGAGAATTCTACGATCCTGACAATGAAAGTGAATTCTTCAATGCAGATCAGAATCTTATTCAGGAATGGCCATTCGGACATAAAGCTGGTGTGGAAGGTAAATCAACTATTACTTATTCACCTCAGCAACAGCAGCAACAACAACAACAGCAACAGGTTCGAGCTTTGAATCCTACAAGTGCCGGAATGTTTGTTAATGCTCTGAGAGGTCAGTCTATACAATATGGTACGGGATACCCTGCACTTGTTCCCCAGCAGCAACCTTCACAATTACCCGGACCTGGCTACTTCGCACAAAACAGCCCGCAAGTTCAGCCATCAACCCTTCCTATGCAGCCTGGTATGATGCAGGGGCAATTTGGAATGGCAGTGAAACCTGGAACAGTACCTGCAGTGTCACCAGCCATGCAACCAGCCATTTCTCCAGCTATGCAACCCAAACCAACTCCAGCACAGATGACACCTAATAAACCTGCCACCACAATGATGCCTCCTAATGCAGTAATTCCTAGCCAAACATCAGAAGCAAAGCCTTTACTTATCCCAGGATCTGTTGGAATCCCAGCTGCCACAACAAGTGTTACTGGAAGTGTTAAGCCTGGAGGTACCCCCATTGCTGCAGCACAGGGTCAAGTTCAGCCTGGTTCTGCATCTTCAATTTTGAGCAACCTTGCTGCTAAACACCAAGAGGGAACCAGTCCAGCTCCAACAGCTACAACTCCACAGAAAACTGTATTCAAAGGGTTTTCCTTCACATCTACTCCAAAAATAACTGAACCAAAGACAGATGATAAGGTTAAAGATCAGAATACTCCAACAACAAGTGCTTCCTCGGGTCCAAAGCCGTTTATGGGATTTTCACTGACACCATCAAAGCCAACAGTTGCACCTGCTAAAACAACAGCAAGTGATGCCACCCAGTCCACAGCAGGAAGTCAGGGTTCTTCAGCACCTTTCACGTTTGGACAGAATAACTCTCCATCATTTGGAAGCTTGGCAGCTCAAAGTGCAACAATTCCTGCTTTCCAAGGCTCCGGTGATCAGAAAGGATTTGCAGGTGCTGGTATGCCAGTGTTTGGCAAAACTCCACCTAGACGCCACAACATTTCAACAGGGTCAGATGACCATATTGAAGAATATGAGCCAAATGTAGACTTTAAACCAGTAATTCAGTTACCAGATCTAGTTGAAACAAAGACAGGTGAAGAAGAGGAAGAAAAAATGTTCTGTGAGCGTGCAAAATTATTCCGGTTTGACCCGGATGCAAAACAGTGGAAAGAGCGAGGAGTAGGTGACATTAAGATTTTACGACATCGTGAAACAAAGAATGTCAGAATTTTGATGAGACGTGAACAGGTATTGAAGTTATGTGCCAATCATAAATTGACAGCAAATATGAAACTTGCTCCAATGACTTCATCTGATAGAGCTTGGGTTTGGAATGCAACAGATTTTGCTGAAGGTGAGATGAAACTTGAGAAATTTGCTGTGAAGTTTAAATCTGTGGATATTGCTGACAAGTTTAAAAAAGTATATGAGAAATGCCAAGCTGAATTGCCTGAAGCTCAAAATGAAGATTCAACTAATGCACCATCTGGTAAAACAGGAACCAAGGAGGAAAAATCCGGAGAGGGTAAAGGTGATTTGGCTGCCATGTTTAAGCCAAAAGCTGGTTCTTGGACTTGCGATGGCTGCTATGTTAACAATGGTGGAGAGATACTGAAATGTCCATGCTGTGGAACACTTAAGCCAGGTGTAAAGCCAGAAGATGTAAAGACAGAATCTTCTAGTTTTGGTGGATTTAAAGGATTTGGTAGTGGAGGGGCAGGAGTGAGTGTACAACCTGGAGGTGGATTCAAGTTTGGAAGTCAAGCAGCTGATTCAAGCAGCAAAGCTTCTGCTGAATCTGGATTTAAGTTTGGATCAGGAGCACAGCCAGAAAATAGCAAACCAGCATCTAGTTCTGGATTTCAGTTTGGTAGTCAATCTATTGGTGGAGGTAGCAAACCCAGTACAGAATCTGAATTTAAGTTTGGTTCTCAACCATCTTCTACAAGTAGTACAGTAAAGACTGCAGCTTCTAGTGTTAAAGAAGAGCAGCAATCTGATAAGCCAAAGTCCACAGAGGGTAAAGGTGATCTGGCTGCCATGTTTAAGCCAAAAGCTGGTTCTTGGACTTGCGATGGCTGCTATGTTAACAATGGTGGAGAGATACTGAAATGTCCATGCTGTGGAACACTTAAGCCAGGTGTAAAGCCAGAGGATGTAAAGACAGAATCTTCTAGTTTTGGTGGATTTAAAGGATTTGGTAGTGGAGGGGCAGGAGTGAGTGTACAACCTGGAGGTGGATTCAAGTTTGGAAGTCAAGCAGCTGATTCAAGCAGCAAAGCTACTGCTGAATCTGGGTTTAAGTTTGGATCAGGAGCACAGCCAGAAGACAGTAAACCAGAAACTGAATCTGGGTTTAAGTTTGGAACCCCAACCACAGCCAGTACAGAGAGCAAACCATCATCAGGCTTCTCTTTTGGCACACCCTCAGCAGGATCCACACAACAGAAAGGTATTTTTGGAACAAATTCAGTAGTTACAACAAGCTCAGCATCTACAGGTGGATTTACATTTGGTACTGGTTCCACTAGTCAGTCAACAACAAGCAGTGTCTTTGGAACTCCAACTTCCACCAGCAGTCTATTTGGAACCCCAACTTCTGGAACATCAGCTAACACAAGTAGTATTTTTGGAACCCCATCTTCCACAAGTGGCATCTTTGGGATACCATCAACCACAAGTAGCAGTATATTTGGTGGGGCAGCAAGCTCTTCTGCTGCCGCAAGCACAATTTTTGGCAAACAAGATTCTTCAGCAGTTAGTAGCACCATATTTGGCAGTAAACAATCTACAAGTGCTGGTAAAAGTTTTGTATTTGGAGAAGCAACTTCAGAGACACCAGATTCCACAACTCCTGATGTACAGGCAAACACAACAGGAGGTACAGATCAGCCGAGAGGTGCTGGAGAAAGTCTTCTTGCAAAGTTTTTAGCCAGCCCTGATAGTTGGACATGTAATGGTTGCTATGTTAACAATGAAGGTCTAGTTGAGAAATGTCCATGCTGTGGTACAGCTCGTCCGGAGAATAAAGCTCCTAGTTTTACTGGTTCCTCATTGGCTACTTCTCTAACTGGGGGAAAGGCAGGTACCAAAGAAACAGATGTCAAATCTGTAGTTAGTGAAGGCCCAACTGGTTTTATGTTTGGAACAGCTGCTGGAAAGAAACCAGAAGAAATAAAGTCCTCAGCAACAGATGAAGGATTTAAGTTCACCTTTGCACCAACTGCAGAAGAAAATAAACCTCAGCCAACTGCTTCCCTCGGTTCTGGCTTTAACTTCTCTATGAGTATGACACCTCTGAAAAAAAGTCCTCTTAAAGCTCCGCCAAATGTTGCTGGAGTAAAATCACCGAAATCTCCAGAAATTTCCGAAGAAGGTTTTTATGTAAACAAAGAAGGTGATGATTCACATATCCACTTTGAACCGGTTATAGAGCTGCCTGATCATGTTGATGTGAAAACTGGAGAGGAAGATGAAGAAATCATATTCTCCCATCGATCCAAATTGTTCCGTTTCACTAACAGTGAATGGAAGGAGAGGGGAATTGGAGATATTAAAGTTTTATACCAATCTGAAAATAACAAAGCCCGTATTGTCATGAGAAGAGAACAAATTCTGAAGTTATGTTGTAATCATTACATTTACCCCGATCTGAAATTAACTCCAATGCCAAATAGCAAAGGTTGTGCCCTGGTATGGTCTGCTATGGACTTTGCTGAGGGTGAACCTAAACCGGAGCAATTTTCTATCAAATTTAAAACTGAAGATATTGCGAAGAAGTTCGAAAATGCTGTGACTGAAGCTAAAGGTAGAATTAGTGGTACTAGGCCAAAAGTGAAACAAGACACTAAATCACTGCCTGTTGTAGAAACTATTGGTGCGGTTAGCGGGGTGCAGGAAACTGAAACTTCTGGTGGCGACTCTGAAGATGATGTTATAATCACAGGTGTCGAGGAAGCAACTGAAGAAGAAATAAAGAAGGCTCGAGAATTAATGTTACCAGACCATTTCTTTCTGTATACAAGGAGACCACCATGTCCTGGCTGCCGTGGATGCAACGATGAGTTTCCAAATTATGAAGCGGCAAGAGGAGATGCTAGTCAGAGTTATTCTCGTGGTCAGGTGCATGAACAGGAAGAAAATTATGATGATGACGACGATGATGATGATTACGAAGATGATGACGACGACGAGGATGATGACGATGATTATGATGATGATGAAGATGGAGACACAAATGGTATGTTGTTGAATTTTACAAGAATGAAAAACTTCATGTTGTTTACAATTAAAACAATTCTTTTAATCCAATGGAAGAGTTAATAATACATTTGTGGAAAACTTTCAAATTTGTTACTCCTGTGACAGCATAGGAAGAAATAAGATACTAACTCTTTCAAGATGAAAGAATTCATTTAAAGTTTTAAAACAATTTGGTCATTTATGTACACAGGGTATTAAGATTCTCTGAAGTGTTAAGCATTTTATTGTGAGCTTACTACAGTAAAAACTCTGAAAACCGGACCCTCTGAAAACCGGAATCCTCTGAAAACCGGACCATTTTAAAAGTCCCGTATTTTCTCCCTATATGTTCATTGAAAAAAATCCTCTGAATACCGGAACCTCTGAATTCCGAAAACCGGACGATTTTCTATGGTTTCTAACGCTAGACATGCACAAAAAATCCTCTGAAAACCGGACAGCAATTTAAAGTGTCAACTTTCTGTGTACTTTAATGTAGATCTAAACATAATCTCAACAGGTGACATGTTCAATTACCAGATAATGGTCATCTCCTTTTATCTATGCAGGTGTGAAAACACTTGTCAGTGTATGTTAATTTGTTATTGTCAATTAAATTATAGCTCTTTCATCAAATTTGTGTCTCTTTCCTCTATAGGTATGATTTTTTAAAAATGTTTTTAATGTGTTATGTTTTCTTTTAATATAAATGTCTTAAGAATTGAAAGACTTTTTATACGCCCGTTTGAAAAAACGGGACGTATTATGGGAACGCCCCTGGCGGGCGGGCGGGCGGGCGGGCGGCGTCCAATTTTGTCTGGAGCATATTCTCTACATGTATGGAGGGATTTTTAATGAAACTTCATAGAAATGTTCACCACTATGAGGAGCAGTGTCGCGCACATGAACCAGGTCTCTAGGTCAAAGGTCAGATAAAAATATGAAGATGTGTATATGGACCATTTAGTCATCATTTATTGAGGGATTGTAACACAAATGGTCATTATCAAGACTATGGCTGTGATACATATAATTTAGGTCAATATATACAAGGTCAAGGTCACTAAAGATGATGAAATATCCAGATTTTGTCCGGAGCATATCTCCTACACACATGGAGGGATTTTAATAAAATTTCATAGAAATGTTCACCATTATGAGAAGCCATGTCACGCACATGAACTAGGTCTCTAGGTCAAAGGTCAAGGTCACACTTAGAGCTCATTGAAAAACGCTTGTCCGGAGCAAAACTTCCACATGCATAGAGGGATTTCAATATAACTTGGCACAAATGTTCACCATTGTGAGGCGGAGTGTCGTGCACAAAATTCAGGTCCCTGCAGCCAAGGTCAAGGTCACACATAGAGGTCAAAGTTTAGATAAAAATATGAAGATGTGTATAGGGACGATTTAATCATTTTTTATTGAGGATTGTAACACAAATGGTCATTATCATCGACTACGGCTGTGACCATGTACTTTAGGTCAATATAGTGCAAGGTCAAGGTCACTAAAGATGGTGAAATATCCAGATTTTGTCTGGAGCATATCTCCTACATGTATGGAAGAATTTTTATAATACTTTATGGAAATGTTCACCACCATGATATGTATTGCTCCATGCATGATCCAGGTCAAAGGTCAAGGTCACACTTAGAGCTCATTGCAAAACGCTTTTCGGAGCAAAACTTCTTCATTCATAGGGGGATTTCAATATAACTTGGCACAAATGTTTCACCATTGTGAGGCTTGAGTGTAGCACGCAAAATTCAGATCCCTGTGACCAAAGTCAAGGTTACACATAGAGGTCAAGTTCAGATACAAACTTTGAAGATGTGTATAGGGACCATTTAGTCATCATTATATTGATGGATTGTAGCACAAATGGTAACTATCATGACTACAGGTGTGGACATTTAAATTTAGGTTAATATTTGCAAGGTCACAGGTCACTGGAGATGAATTAAATATCCAGGATGTTGTCTGGAGCATATTTTTCTACATGCATGAAGGAATTTTAATGTTACTTTATAGAATTGTTCACCACCATGAGACGTAGTGCCTGCACATGAACCAAGTCTCTAGGTCAAAGGTGAAGGTCACAGTTAGAGCTCATAGAAAACGCTTGTCTGGAGCAAAACTTCTACATGCATAGAGGGATTTCAATATAATTTGGCACAAATGTTCATCATTGTGAGGCTGAGTGCCGTGCATAAAATTCAGGTCCCTGCGACCGAAGGTCAAGGTCACACATCCTGTGCATATCTTCCCTACTGATTTGTTTAAGGTTCATTTAACAACACAGTGCCAAGAATAAAAACTTGCTTGCTAGATAACACTTATCCATAATGCCCCCATCTCCATCTAAAGCTTTCGTAAACGGGATGGCACCCTTGTTTAAAAATGATTCCTATTTTCTTTTAAATTTTGATATCAATTATATGCAAAAAAGTAATACTAAATTCTATTTATTATGCCCCCATTTTGAAAAAAAGGGGGTATATTGCTTTGCACTTGTCGGTCCGTCGGGTCCCGTAGACCGAAATGTTTCCGAGGTGATAATCTAAAGAACCCTTAGGATAGGAACTTCAAACTTGGTATGGTGAATTGGATCATGACAGTAGATGACCCCATATTGATTTTGGGGTCAAGGGGTCAAAGGTCAAGGTCACATTGACCTTGAAAGCAAAACGGTTTTCCGATCAATAACTAAAGAACCTTAAGGCCTAGGAACTTCAAACTTGGTATGGTGATTGTCATGACCGTAAGATGACCCCTATTGATTTTGGGGTCAAGGGGTCAAAGGTCAAAGTCACATTGACCTTGAAAGCAAAAAACAGTTTCCGATCAATTACTAAAGAACCTTAAGGCCTAGGACTTCAACTTGGTATGGTGATTGGTCATGACCAGTAGATGACCCTATTGATTTTGGAGTCAAGGGTCAAAGGTCAAGGTCACATTGACCTTGAAAGCAAAAACAGTTTCTGATCATAACTAAAGAACTTAAGGCCTAGGAACTTCAAATTGGTATGGTGATTAGTCATGGAACCAGTTGATGACCCCTATTGATTTTTGGGGTCAAGGGGTCAAAGGTCAAGGTCACATGACCTTAAAAAGCAAAAACGGTTTCCGATCAATAACTAAAGAACCTTAAGGCCTAGGAACTTCAAACTTGGTATGGTGATTGGTCATGATCAGTAGATGACCCCTATTGATTTTGGGGTCAAGGGGTCAAAGGTCAAGGTCACATTGACCTTGTAAGCAAAAACGGTTTCTGATCAATAACTAAAGAACTTAAGGCCTAGGAACTTCAAACTTGGTATTGTGATTGGTCATGATCAGTAGAGACCCCTAATTGATTTTGGGGTCAAGGGGTCAAAGGTCAAGGTCAACATTGACCTTGTAGGTAAAAACGGTTTCCGATCAATACCTAAAAGAACCTTAAGGCTTAGGAACATCAAACTTGGTATGGTGATTGGTCATGATCAGTAGATGACCCTATTAATTTTGGGGTCAAGGGGTCAAAGGTCAAGGTCACATTGACCTTGAAAGCAAAAACAGTTTCTGATCAATACCTAAAGAACCTTAAGGCCTAGGAACTTCAAACTTGGTATGGTGATTAGTCATGACCAGTTGATGACCCCTATTGATTTTGGGGTCAAGGGGTCAAAGGTCAAGGTCACATTGACCTTGTAGGTAAAAACGGTTTCCGATCAATAACTAAAGAACCTTAAGGCCTAGGAACTTCAAACTTGGTATGGTGATTGGTCCATGATCAGTAGATGACCCGTATAGATTTTTGGGTCAAGGGTCAAAGGTCAAGATCACATTGACCTTTTAATTAAAACAACAGTTTCTGATCAATAACAAAAGAACCCTCAGGCTAGGAACTTCAAAAACTTGGTATGGTGATGTGGTCATGAATCAGTAGATGACCCCTATTGATTTTGGGGTCAGGGGTCAAAGGTCAAGGTCAATTGACCTTGTAGGTAAAAACGGTTTCCGATCAATACCTAAAGAACCTTAAGGCTTAGGAACATCAAACTTTGGTATGGTGATTGGTCATGATCAGTAGATGACCCGTATAGATTTTGGGGTCAAGGGGTCAAAGGTCAAGGTCACATTGACCTTTTAATTAAAAACGGTTTTCTGATCAATAACACAAAGAACCCTTAGGCCTAGGAACTTCAAAAACTTGGTATGGTGATTGGTTATGACAATCAGATGACCCCTATTGATTTTTGGCGTTAAGGGGTCAAAGGTCAAGGTTCACATTGACCTTGTAGGTAAAAACAGTTTCCGATCAATAATGAAAGAACCTCTAGGCCTAGGAACTTCAAACTTAGAGATGGTGATTGGTCATGATCAGTAGATGACCCCTATTGATTTTGGGGGTCTAGGGGTCAAAGTCAAGGTCACATTGACCTCTTAGGTAAAAACGGTTTCGATCAATAACTAAAGAACCCTTAGGCCTAGGAACTTCAAACTTGGTATGGTGATTGGTCATGACCAGCAGATGACCCCTATTGATTTTGGGGTTAAGGGGTTAAAGGGCAAGGTCACATTGACCTTGTACGTAAAAATGCTTTCCGATCAATAACTTAAGAACCCTTATGCCTAGGAACTTCAAACTTGGTATGGTGATTGGTCATGACCAGCAGATGACCTATTGATTTTGGGGTCAAGGGGTCAAAGGTCAAGGTCACATTGACCTTGTAGGTAAAAACGGTTTCCGATCAATTTACTAAAAACGCTTAGGCCTAGGAACTTCAAACTTTGTGTGATGATTGGTCATGACCAGCAGATGACCCTATTGAGTTTTAGGTGAAGGGGTCAAAGGTCAAGTCACATTGACCTTTTAAGTAAAAACGGTTTCTGATTAATAATTCAAGAACGCTTAGGCCTAGGAACTTCAAACTTGGTATGGTGATTTGTCATGACCAGCAGATTACTCCTATTGATTTTGGGATCAAGGGTCAAAGGTCAAGGTCACAATGACCTTGTAAGTAAAAACGGTTTTCTGATCAATAACTAAAGAACGCTTCGGCCTAGAAACTTCAAACTTGGCATGGTGATTGGTCATGACCAGCAGATGACCCCTATTGATTTTGGGGTCAAAGGTCAGGTCACATTGACCTTGTATGTTAAAACGGTTTCCGATCAATAATAAGAGAACCCTTAGGCCTAAGAACTTCAAACTTGCATGGTGATTGGTCATGACCAGCAGATGACCCCTATTGATTTTGGGGTCAAGGGGTCAAAGGTCAAGGTCACATTGACCTTGTAGGTAAAACGGTTTCTGATCAATTTACTAAAACGCCTAGGCCTAGGAACTTCAAACTTTGTTTGATGATTGGTCGTGACAGCAGATGACCCCCTATTGAGTTTTGGGTCAAGGGGTTAAAGGTCAAGGTCATGACCAGTAGATACTTTATAACCCTTATTAATTGTTTGATCACTGGGTCAGAAGTCATGCATAATAACCTTATCACATGACTAATTGGCTGCTGATAGGGGGCATACATGTTTTACAAACATATCTTGTTACATATTTTAAAGCTAATAATAAAATTTCAGACAATGAGGTGTTTTAATTTCTGGATTTGCATAATGAAATTACTTAAGACATTTATATTATAAAAAGAAATTAAAATATGATTTACATCATTTAGACAAAAGGGCTAAAAAGTAAATAAAAAATGATTGAACAAAGTCATTGTTCAAACATATCATAATTATCAATAAATGTATAAAACCTCTGAAAACCGGAATCCTCTGAAAACCGGACTTTTGGTTAAGTCCGGACCGGTTTTCAGAGTTTTTACTGTATTGTTTTCATTTTAGCTGAAGAGAAACCATCAGAAAAGTTTGTATTTGGAGGCGGGTCTAATCAGTTCTCATTTGCAGCTCTAGCAGCAGGAGGTGGAGCTAGTTCATTTACTAATAGTATGTACTGATTCTTTTCTTTGTGTCATAAAATTTAGATTCGACGATTAGCAATAACCCAGTTACATAAAAAGTACATAAGGTAAGTATAGGACTTGCACCTCATCGCTGCGGGTTCAAATTCCACCGGGGACTTCGGATCTTTCATGTGAGGATGCTATCAACTTGGTAGTCAGCTTACGAACTGTTTTTGGTTCTACTTAGGTGCCCGTTTGTGCCTAAAATAATGCATTAAGGGGCACCTAAGGTCTTCATCCATTGTTGAAGCTGGAACGCTACAATATGACCTTTACAGTGTTGGTGCGACTTTTTAGCCAACTAAAAACAAAACATGTTTATGTTGGGCAATGGTTGTACTCCAATGATACCCAGCTAGCTTAAGGAATGACGTTGGTTCTAATCATTTGCCTCCTTGTGCCAAAAATATTGCCTAGAGTAGCATATGAGGATTTCCTCCATCAGTAAAGCTAGAAAGTCGCCATATGATTGTTACATCTTTCAATCTGCACAAAACAGTTTCCTACAATTAACAAATGTAATGGCATGGTATGGCTAAAATCATGTGCTGCTAAAGGCAAATATAAGGTTAGAGATGTTTTTAGGAAATGAAAGCATAGTAAGAAAAGTAAGTAAGACTTGCTAGATAACTCCTTTAAGTTATTTGAATGATAAACATTTTATCCTCTCATGTATTTGATTGTAAACTGATGCTCATCACAATCAAAGAAACTTTAGCAGTTGTACACATATAATAATTAATATTTGTTCACATTATAAGATGCAATAACAAATCTGTATAAAGTAAGAAACTTTGGATAGATTCAGTTTAATTTTGTTCTTCTTTTACCACTCAAGTGTTCCTTTTTATTTACATGAATTATATATTAAATATTAAACACATAATTGAATACAGATCCAAGTAAACCATTCCACTGGCAAGATGCTGGAAGACAGCTGTTTGGTGGAGGAGGCGGAGCAACTGAAGGCGGGAGTGGTGATGAGGGGGAGGTCCAGCAAGGGGAGGAGCAACACTTTGAGCCAGTAGTACCACTTCCTGAACTTGTAGATGTTAAAACTGGTAAAAGACTCCTTCCTTTTCTTTTCAAGTACACTGCATTTTCTGTGGAGAAGTCCATTTTAGGAGTATTTTCAGAAAGAATTGGAATAAGATTGGTGTTTTTTGATGTTGTATAGATTTCCTTTAATGATAAGTGATTATATTTTGTGTATCTAACTTAGTATCCTTTAATGTCAATAATTATTTTCCAGGGGAAGAAGATGATGTTGTAGAGTTTTCACAGCGAGCGAAACTCTTCCGGTTCGATAAAGATGCGGGACAGTGGAAGGAAAAAGGCATCGGAGAAATGAAAATTCTGAAACATAAACCAAATGGTAAAGTTATCAAATGCTGTGAAAGAATTTCTTTTAGAGAAATTAGAATGAGTTGTGTTTTATATAGAAGTTCATTGAAATTTAAAGTGATATTTGTTTATCTATTTGTTTGCTAGTGAGGACATGTTAAATGAGTTGGTTAAAAGTTGTTTTTTTAGCTCCTTTTTTCCAAGACTGAAAGAAAACTTCAATTATATTTTAATCAATTGTTGGTAAAAATTTATGTTTTCTTGAGATATTAAGCCCAGCTTATGGTGCTTTTTTTACCCATTGACAAGGAGTTTTCTTTTAAAGTCAATTTATTAAAATATTGGCAAAGATAAATATTTTACACGTTTTCACTTCAGACTAGAAATACTTGTTCACTATCAAGGGCAAGTATCTATTTCAAGCATTTGTGCAGAATTATGACCACTTTTCTTCTTTGCGTTACCTATATTACCCAGTACTGACAAGAGTGGAGCATGATATCCACTGAAAGATTTTTGGTTTTGTTTTGGCAGTACTGTGTGTCTCTTTGAAATGAACCATTCATATTTTGTTAGTGATAATCTTTTTTCCTGGTACCATTTTGAGAACAAAAAATGATTTTAACTGTTTCTACACTTAATATATTAAATGGACTCCTTCAATCCATCTTTCAATATGGATAAAAGCATTCATCATATTTAGGAAAAATTTCAAACTAAGTACTGACTGATCTTGGTCTGAATTTGGTCGTCTTAAAAGATTCATTGACCGCTAGCAAGCAAAGTGTTAATGTGGTGTGAACGAGGCAAACTTGATACTTTGCTTGCAACTTGCTGGTGATTTATTGAAACTCTGCAACAATCGTGTGTGTTTTCCTTAATATGATTAAACGCACTTTACATAAATGTTTGCAATTGTGTTGTTATTATTATTATTATTATTGTAGTTATCAAATTTTGTTATTTTATTTTTAGGAAAGTACCGATTTCTGTTACGGAGAGAGCAGGTGCATAAGTTAGCTTGTAACCATTTACTAACCCCAGATATCACAGTCACACCAATGAATACATCAGAGACCGCATGGTGCTGGACAGCTCAAGATTATTCTGAAGGGGAGTGTAGGGTTGAACAGTTGGCTGTCAAGTTTAAGGTAAACTTATATATTTTCTTATGTTGTGTTGCTTGTTTTTATTTACCTTAAACTGGACTTGTGCATTTCAAAAGGGATAAAATCAAATTGTAATGCCAGGGTTGCTGGTATGATCCCCCTGTGTGGCGAAATTTCTTTGTGACAATTGATATGGGACATTAAGTTTAATGGTCATTGGTCTCTCACTGCTGGTTTAGCCACTTGTTGAACGTTGGTTATTACTGGTTAGTTATCCAGGAAATCTGGTGAGGTGGACCCACTGAGAAGATATTACCTAAATATGTAAAAATCAGCGTAAAAAACAACAAATAAAATAATTGAGATTAGCGTAGTCTGAAATAATTTTCAGCATGACATTTGAAGTCTCTTTAATTGGTAATAAATCGGGGTCATAATCATTGATTGTCCTGGGTCGGAATTTTAATTAATTAAACTCCTTTTGGGATATTGAAGTCTCCTTCTTCTTCCTTGTTTAACTATTGAGCTTTGAGGACAGTTGTGTGTAAGTATATCTTACACATGACTTCTTGTTTTACTAAATCTTTCTGTAAATTTAAACCATGACAAGTTATGCCCATGAAGTTGTTTTAACTTCACTAGCCATTTATGCCTGTAAAGTTGTTTTAACTTCACTAGCCATTTATGCCTGTAAAGTTGTTTTAACTTCACTAGCCATTTATGCCCATTAAATTGTTTTAACTTCACTAGCCTGTAAATGCCCTTAAAGTTGTTTTAACTTTACTAGCTATTTATGCCTGTAAAGTTAATTTAGCTTTACTAGCCATTTATGCCCATTAAATTGTTTTAACTTCACTAGCCATTTATGCCCGTAAAGTCGTTTTAACTTCACAAGCCATTTATGCCAGTAAAGTTGTTTTAACTTAACTAGCCATTTATGCCAGTAAATTGTTTTAACTTCACTAGCCATTTATGCCAGTAAAGTCGTTTAAACTTCACTGGCCATTTATGCCCGTAAAGTCATTTTAACTTCACTAGCCATTTATGCCAGTAACGTTGTTTTAACTTCACTAGCCATTTACGCCAGTAAAGTCGTTTTAACTTCACTGGCCATTTATGCCAGTAAAGTTGTTTTAACTTCACTAGTCATTTATGCCAGTAAATTGTTTTAACTTCACTATCCATTTATGCCAGTAACGTTGTTTTAACTTCACTAGCCATTTACGCCAGTAAAGTCGTTTTAACTTCACTGGCCATTCATGCCAGTAAAGTTGTTTTATCTTCACTAGTCATTTATGACAGTAAAGTCGTTTTATCTTCACTAGTCATTTATGCCAGTAAAGTCGTTTTAACTTCACTGGACATTTATGCCAGTAAAGTCGTTTTAACTTCACTGGCCATTTATGCCAGTAAAGTCGTTTTAACTTCACTGGCCATTTATGCCAGTAAAGTTGTTTTAACTTCACTAGTCATTTATGCCAGTAAATTGTTTTAACTTCACTATCCATTTATGCCAGTAAAGTTGTCTTAACTTCACAAGCCATTTATGCCAGTACAGTCGTTTTAACTTCACTAGTCATTTATGCCAGTAAAGTTGTCTTAACTTCACTAGCCATTTATGCCAGAAAAGTCGTTTTAACTTCACTAGTCATTTATGCCAGTAAAGTTGTCTTAACTTCACTAGCCATTTATGCCAGTAAAGTCCTTTTAACTTCACTAGCCATTTATGCCCGTAAAGTCGTTTTAACTTCACTAGTCATTTATGTCCGTAAAGTCATTTTAACTTCACTAGTCGGGCATACTCATTTGTGTTGTTGTTTTTGTCTGTTGTAGAATGTTGAGTTGGCGAAGAATTTCAAACAGAAGGTTGACGAAGTACAAGCTATTCAACAAAATCAACAATTAAAGAGCTCCAAAAAGTGTAGAACATTTATTTATTTGTGACATTTACAGACTATCTACAAATTTAAATGACTTGTAGACATGCCAGCACCAGTAAACTTACTGTAATGGTAAGAATGTGTTCACCCTAGTAAAACCTGTCTGATGTAATCAATCATTTCTTGCCATGAATTGGACAGTTTATTTTATAGTGCTCAATCTTATAAACACTGTAACAATATATTTAATGTACGAAAATTTGGTGACATTCAATCAGTGTGACATCATCAACTATTTGTGACATATACAATCAGTGTGGTATCATAAACTGTTTGTGACATTCAATCAGTGTGGCATCATAAATTGTGACATTCAATCTGAATCAGTGTGACATCATCAGCTGTTTGTGACATTCAGTCTGAATTTGTGTGACATCATCAACTTTTTGTGACATTTAATCAGTGTGACATCAACTGTTTGTGACATTAATTTATTGTGGCATCATCAGAGGTGTGCAACATCATCAACTGTTTGTGACATTTAATTAGTGTGGCATCAACTGTTTGTGACATTCATTCATTGTGGCATCATCAACTGCCTGTAACATTTAATCAGTGTGACATTATCAAGATTTTGTGACATTTCAATCCGTGAGAAATATGTGTATAAATTTTGTGGTATACAATTTGCAGGATTTGGTTATTTGCAATTCAATAAAAAAAACTTGTGACATTGTTTATGCCATTTGAAGAGAAATATAATTTGTGAGATAGTATACGTCATGAAATTCAATTTGTATGACATACATGTTTGTAAATTTGTGCTTAAAGCGTCAGGAATGGCAAAATATTTCAAGAAAGTCACACTTTAGAAACATGTACTAATGTTTTAAAAAGAAACAGAAAAAAAATGAAGTAATAATGAGTTAATGATTGATTTTGCAGTATCTATGGCCATATTTTATGAGTAAGATGTTGATCTGTTTAAAAAAAAATAAACCAGATATGTTGCACAAAAACTTAGGTGTTTAGATGAATGACTAAAATATGTCAATCTTGACCAATTTTAACACTGGTCAGTGGAAATATGCCATTACTATGACAGTGAAATAAGTGATGACGCGAAACTAGTGATGTTGAGTATACTTTCCAGTACAAGAGACCATTGAGAAAAGACCACTTACAGATTAAAGTGTCTGTGACCTTTGCATAAGAGTACTGAGAACAATGTCATAGATATATATAGAGTGTTTATGCAATGTTTACATGAAAAATATATTCCTGAAATGTTATTAATGTTCATTCAAAAATTCACTCTGTCTGCTTTATAATTGTTAATCTGAATGTGATTGTTTAATTTTTTCATTGATTCTCTGACTTATGATTTGCAGTGATTTAAATTCAACTTGTACAAAATGCATAAAATTTGTGTTTGAAATTTCTTATTGTATTATCTAAGTTTATTTACAAAATTAGCCACATTGAATTAGTATAGTGTACCAGTAATTCCATGTGTAATGCCCTGATTGATTGTTTTGTGAAATTACAAAAACGATGCAAAAAAAACCTTTCTTTGTGCTTCATTCTCCCAGTAACACTGTGGTGATCAAAGGGGCCCCCGGGGGGGGAGGGGCTGTAACGGCGCAAGGACTCTATATATGTATATTAGGGACCTAGTTTTGGTCACAACTGACCGTAATATAGAGTCCAGGCATCGTTAAAATCCCCTTTGGTAGTGTACTCTCCAGATCATGGCAGTTAGTCTTTTAATTTAATTTACCAGAGCATTGTTCAGCCACCACATCGCTCATGGACATGCTGTCCAGCTATTTATTAGTGCTAGTGCCATCACTTTTGAAAGGAATCGATAACTTCTGTACAACCAAATGCAGAATCATAGAGCGTAGAAAGTATTTCATGATCATTCATAACGAAAGTTGACTTGCACCGGCCCGATTCAATGTCCAACGCTTTGCCTTTTGAGCTAACCAAACTGTTACACTGCCATATACGATATAGTCTTGTCAGAATACACACCACTGGCTGTTTTCATTACATAGTGAAAGCATTTACAGTTCTATATTAAAAACAGGACACGCCCATTAAACAATGGTTAAAGCATATACCAGTTTATAGTAATGAGAACCACTCCAGATCCTACTTGGTGTGAAGTGTTTGAAAGCGTTCATCACCACGATCTCCCAACAATGAAGAGCCTCTTATCGGGATTTAGACGTTTTAAAGCGTTAAACTGGCAAGGTTAACAAAAGATAAGTAATGATTTATTATAAACTTGAAACAGGAGGGGTCCTAAGAAAGAACCTTGAGGGACACCTGAGGATACTGGGATTGGGCCGGAGCTTCTGCCTTAAAATTATATACGACCGACTGAAATTACCCCCCCCCCCCCCCCAAAAAAAAAAAAAAAAAAAAAAATTAAAAAAAAAAGATGAATGGTTTTGTCATGATTGAAACATCAGCAGGAACATGGTCAGTTCACCTCTGAGCTGTGTGTATATTTATGAACTCATCTGCTGTTACGTGTAGAATGTTTATGATAGTGTTAAGTATTTTGTTTCCCTGTCATTAAAAAAACTTTTTCAAATTTCTTTAAATGAGTTTATCTTAAAATGGTCACTTAAAAACGTAATCTTGTTTTTCCTTTCGTGTATGAATAATTTCCTGCTATTTTGATGGGTTATGTCCATATTTGGAAGAAAATGAATATCGAGGTTAAGTAAGAGTATTTTTATGTTTATAATTAGCATCAAACAGTTAAACAACATTAGTAATTGTTTTTAAGACACACCCCGCAAAACAACATGGTAGGATGTTTATATGGCAAACTGAGTAATTGTTGACATGTGGCCAGGGTTTTGACTTACACCCATCGGGTGCTCGCACGCAACCCATATCCTTAGTTGTTAAAGTCACTCTTCCCCTATTCACAAACAAATATCGTATATATCACATTTTTTCCAGATATTTAGCATATTTAATAGAGCGTCTATGATGGAGACCCACATATTTATTTGGGAAGATTTGCTATATTATGAAAATGACATTATGCTCATTTTTGTAGGCAAGTTGAGCCGAGTTGAGCTGAATTAGTAATGTATTTCAAAAGATTATTTTTTGTAATAGTGATTGACCCATAAGTTACACTGAAGAATATTTAGGTTAAACTGTAAAAAACTACCTTAATTATAAAAAGACTGTCCCAATCTTTTTAAAATAAATTGAACATAACTGATACAGAACGAACGATATGAATTTATAGAAATTTCCATGTGGATTAATGACTATTTTTGCACAATAAAATAAAAACAATGGACATATTTGTTGCAACTTATGAAGTTATTTTTATTTTTACCTTAGCACTCGCCATTTATACTTGAATTGGCATAATGTCACTTTAAGGTGAACACTGACTCACAAAGAACAACAATCGGAAACACTGGTTCCTTTTTTGCACTACGATGAGGTGTATTTATTTTCAATATCCCAACTTTCCCTAATTAAAGCCTTTCTATAATTATATGCTAGTATATATAACAAGACTTTTTTAAAGGGTCATTTGTCGACCTATCGAAGTAAAAGTTAGAACATATAGAAAAAAAACGTAGTAAGTAAAAACAAGAACAGAAAGAAGAAAACTTTAATGTCCACACAAATAAAAATAATCTCTAGCCTTATTTTGAATACACGACATAAAACACTGACTAGGACTAGACGCAAAACAAAAAGGCAATCGAGAATTAAAGGCCCATTTAGCATAAAATATGCTGCATGTATTTCTACTTTTCAAAAGTTTTTTATGCTTGGTGTTTTTATATAGTTTCCAGGTTACTCATTAGCCATGTAGCTGTTCCATTTTAGCAATAGGTGATTTAGCATCTTGTATGGAAGTCAAAATACTTATTCGTTGACATTATTTCACATTCGACGTTGATTTTTTTCATATTATAGTATTTGCCCTTTCTAAATGAATAATATATAAGCTAGTATTCATAAATAAATAAAAAAAATAAGTAAATAAATAAATATTCGTTTCTGAGGCCAAACGTGCTTTTAAAAACGAGGGCGCTCAATTGAATAATATGAAAATTGAGTGGTCTAAAAATCTAATATTGATTAGTGAATGTCAAGGAAATGCAAAGAGCTAACTGAATTTTGATCGTGAACAGAAGAAGACAAACTCGAAAATGTATGCCGGCGATTTATCGATACCGGACAACAAATATCTCAAAAGATAAATTAAACTGAACACGCTGCGTGACTCAGCGCGCCATGTGAAAATAGCTTACTTCAATCACCAATTACTTCAATCACTAATCAGCCACCAGTATGGTGCAAGCCTTCACTTCCATACAGTAGCTTGATAAAAAAAAGCATGTAGAGGCCGAGTTAAAACGGAAATAATTTATTCTCATATTGCATGTACATTAACACATGTATACTAGTATATAATTTTCTGATGGTAAATCGTTTATAAAAGGGATAAGAGTACCGCCGCAATTCTCACATCAAGTATATAGATGTATATGCTCAAAAATGTATGAAAGTTTGATAAAGTAATAGTCATATTTTATATATTTCCTGATTTATACGTACATATTATAAATAATAACTCTGCGGGAAATCCCAATCTAACAGCCAGTCCGTAATGGTGTTAGTAATGAGGAAAAATAATAATTATAAATTTCCAACGTTATCAATTAAGTCAGTAAATCTAGAAGATAAAAATCTCAAGTAAAGTATTGTTTACTCATCCCTGATATGACTTTACCGGATATGACGCACATATGTTATTACATAATTTTTTAATAAGTTCATCAGAGTTGTTTCTTCCTGTTATTATGAATCATTTGAATAAAAAAAAATGAATTAACAAATTTAATTGAATTACATTGAGCTGGATAAGTATTGTCAATACACTCTCCTGAAATATTATCCAATATATAATTTAACATTTTATTTTATTATATTGTGTGTGGATATACTATAAGTTATAAATATTTTTGACGTTATATGACCCTACATAAAAGGTAATATAAACGCTTATATAGAACAGAACAGAACAGAACATTTATTTTATTAGATTTGTACCATAAGTACATCATCGTAACATATTTACAAAATTAATACATTTACATGTAATATAATACAGCCACATGATAAACCAGTGTTTATAATTATCAAATCGCAATAACACATACATTACATTTACACATTTACATTTAATAAAATTACAAATACATAATATAATCATGATACTTTAAGCATACAATTTCATCGTTTTTTTATTCTAAGAGGATGGACTTAAATATGTGTAGCAGATGCTCTTAAAGTCATAGCACGTTTAATATAAATAGCTAAATTTTTAAGAATTGTTCTTTTATCATTTTTTAATA